GTAGTTGTGTAAGGGGGTCCATATTTGGTGTCCAACTAGCAAGTTGGTTAAAAATTGTACCAGTATTGAAACTGCTGCAGAGTCACAGAAAAAAAAATGATGTGCCTCTGTTTTTTAAGTTCATTTTCAATTTGACTGTGATTGGCAGTGAGCATAAGATAGGCCATCCTACTTTCTGGTAAAGAACTGCAGATTTTGTACTTGACTTTCCACTGAATTATACCAACCTTACCTGTGTAAACAAAACTAATATCACTTATCTTCAAACTCTCTGATGAGTAATTGTTTATTTGATTATAGTAGACTTAAAAAAAAAAACCCAAAAAACCCCCCAAAACTTGATATATTCTATGCAATTTAATAATCAGGAAATGCTATTTAAAACCTTACAGAAAACCCTTTCCTGTTTTAGTATAGGCCCATCAGCCTCCACAGTGTCATTAGTGAATTTTTGGAAGCTATAATCAATAATTCTAGGAACAACCTCTTGAGCAAGTAGTACGGATTTCTGTTGGCTCGGTTCATTGCTGATATCCTGTCATTACTCACTGACTTGGTAAGGAATTAGACAACAAATACATCTCTAGGACAATCACATTAAGATATTTCAAAGGCCTTTAGCAAGTGTGGCATAAAGGGTTAATGCGCAAGATCTCTAGCTATTGAATAACTAGAAGTGTCTTCTCAATTATCAAATCTTTGGATTAGTCCCTAAAGATAGTTACTAATGGCCAGTCCTCTGAGGCCCAATTGAACAATGCAGGCATCCCCCAAGGCTCACTTCTCAGTCTAACACTCATTCTACTTTACATAAATGATCTGCCTAAGATTTGGGAATATCTATGCTGATGTTAGAACAGTATATGGGTGCATCTCCAAAACTCTAGCTGACCAGAGCCTGGCAGCTGATCTCTCCTCTGGCCTAGCTTTAACAGCTTAATGGGAGGAAAACTGGTTGGTCACATTCAATACCTTGAAAACTAAACTAGTGACAATCCATCATAACTGAGTGGGCCCTGAATTTTCAACTATTGCAATGAACAATTGTTCTCTCAGGGAGGCCACTAGTCAATTAGGACTTAAGCTCAACCCAGACCACAATTGGAACTCGTACATATGCTCTATCGCTAATGATATTGAAAAAATAGATGGTTTCCTATACTGCTCCACAAATACCTGACTCCTGCTATCCTCTACCTTTACAAGAGCCAGATCAGGCTCAAAATGGAGTACTGCTGCCATATGTGGGCAGGAGCTGCCATGTCTTCATTTTCTAGTTTTGATAATTCAAAAGTGTTTCCATGTCTTTGTGGGTGATGAATTATTTTCAACCCTACAACTCTTTTTCCACAGACAAAATATCACACATGTCTTGCTGATCTATCACAATTTCCATTGAAAGTGTTCAGATGAACTACATTCTTTAGTTCCACCAGTTCTAACTTTCATAGCTAAAACCTGCCATGTCACACACAATGTAGCAAATCACTTTCATTTCATTTGTATTCCAGTAATGAGATGAAAGTGCCATTTGAGCAGCTTCTTCCTATAAACTGACACTTTGTAGATCTGACTCCCAAGAGGATGCTTCCCTGATCACTTAAATCTTTAATAGTTCAACCATTATCTTCTTCACATATCCCCATAACCTGTGCCTCTTTCTCTGTAACCTTCTACTTCAAGTGGCTCTTGGGCCTTGTATATATAAATTCCTGCGAATTAAATTTTAAAGTATTGCTTGAATTTTAATTAATCATTGTTTATTTAATTCATCAGTTTTTCATTTCAGCCCCATGAATTTTACTTATTTTCTTATCTCTAATTTGACTTGATTTGTTTTATGGTTTATCAACTTTTTGCAGGTTATTTAAAGCTAGAAAACTTTTCTTTTTTAGATTGTAAGAATTTTTTGGAGTTAATGATTTACTGATACATGTCCGATTAATTAACCCATAGCTTGGGGGGTGAGAAGCAGTGAATTCATAACTTTCCCAAGAGTATTTGGACATAAATAAATATAACAAACCTGACTGGAGTAGGAACTGAGCTTTCCAATTTTGAGTTGTTATCCATTACATCACCTGCACATCTGTGCTTACAGCACCTGATATTCCCAGGTGGTCACCCACCTAGGTACTGGCCAGGCTTAATGTTGCTTAAATTTGGGGGTCATGTAAGATATGACTGTAAGTCCTCTAATGTGCTTTGTACATCTAAAACAATTGTGATAATGAAATTAATCTTTCAAAGAGAGATGCAGTAAACTTAGGTACCTCCACGAGATCGCTAAAAAAAGAGCATAGCATGATGAAAAAGACGCCAAACTTGACGAAAACAAAATTTTATCGTCTAAATGTTTGTTATTATTAAGAGGAAAGGTCAAAGTATTTTTGGGGTATTTTTTTTCCATTTTTAATCGTTCCTAGCACGTCTGAAATTTTCGTTAAAAATCTAGTTTTTTTTTTTTTTTTGACAGTCAGCAAAATTGACCATTTTTTTCCATTTTAAAAAAAAAAATGAAAATCTGACTTTGAAATTTTTTAAATATCAATTATCATTTTTTCAAAACTTATTTTAAGAAAATCAGAAATTATAATGTTTATTTAAAATATTTTGAACCAAACTTAACTTAGCTTTTTGTGCCAAAAAAAGATGTAATTTGAAAATAAAACAAAGCAGGTCATAAACTTTCGCGTCTCTTGACATGTGATGAATGATATATTTACGAATTCCATGAGGCTAATTTGTTCTACGGAAGGAGAAAAGTGAAATAATTTACATTTACGTGAACAAATTATTTACCTCGTTATTTTTAACGAAAACTTTCAGCGGTCTAATTTTTTTTTTTTTTTTTTTTTGTACTTAGCTTTCACCTTTACGTTTATGATGCTTTATGGGAAATATATTGTAAAGAAATTAAAATAAAACTGTTAAGAGTGACATTAAATTTCATATTTCTTAAGAAAGGTATCTAATTAATTTATAGGTACCTTTCTTATGAAATTTTATCAGAATTGTACATAAAATACTATAATTTTATGTACATTTATTACATTCTACTGTTATTTGTATTTGCATTAATTTTATTATTAATTTTGATATTTCATTTATGGAAAAATGTCGTAACTGAGATTAATATAAAAATAAGATCATATAAATTTCATAAGATGATACTGATACTTGTAGGTACCCTTCTCAGTTGAAATTGAAAAATCAAATTAACTTCTCCACACGTGTTTTTGCAAAAAGTAAAGGCCTTAACAGCGGAGAACAATGCTTAACTCAAATAACGCAACTTAATTATATTCTGGTTGGTCTTCCATATTTTATAATTACAGCTCGATTATAAGCACAAAATTACATTTCTTAATTACTGGGGATCTTCTGATTAGTCAAAATGATACAATTTACAACGCTCTAAAAAAAAGATCTATCTCATAAGGACACTTATGAAAGCCGATGTTGCTTTTAACTAATTTTATAATATTTTAACAACTTAAATGTAAAATCTATTATAATTAATGAAATAACAAATAATTGTATTAAAAATTCATTTTTCATTCAAAAAATTTTTTTTGCTTTCAGAAAATATTGTCCATATTCATAAAAAAACTAAAAGCAAATAAAAGCATTTGAAATTAAATAATATCTTTGTTTTATTGAGTTTTGTATGTTAAATTCAGAGCTGATTTTCAGGTACTAATTAAAAAAAAAAAAAAACATGATTTGCATTCCTCAAAGCCCTGTGCTTTTAATTATTGTAATCACTAAAACCGATGCGATCAAATTTCTAGAGTTTTCAAAAATTAGTTATGGGGGGTAATAAATATTTTAAAAAAATATTTCTACCATGACTTTCATAAAAAAAACATATTTATAATAATTTCGATCATCTGTGAATAGTTTCTGAAAGTTTCATTAACATCCGATAATTATTTTATTTTTTGCACGATTTTTCAAATTAATGTGTCATACCCAAAAAACGTGCTAAAAAAATTGTCTATGTTATTTACTAGTTCCACTGATACAAATAGAAAAAAGGTTTTTTTAATCAAAATTTAGAATGTTCTAAAAAGAAGGAAAATTTTTTAAAAATAATTAAAAAAAAACTTGGTCTTTCCTCTTAATAATAACATAAGCATTTAGACAATAAAATTTTTTTTTCGGCAAGGTTGGCGTCTTTTTTCATCAAGCTATGCTTTTTTTTTTTTTTTTTTTGGAGGTACCTAAGTAAACTATTAAGAACAAATAAGTGTCTTCAAAAATATCCTTCACATATAATGCATAAAAATGATGACATGTTAGCTCACTTCAATGACATTAAACACTGAGAAGCTAACTTAGTTCCAAATCAAATAATATAAATTCAGGTTCTTTTTAACTTAGTTCCCCAATAAGGAATAATGAATGTTGCGTTCTGCGTTGTCTCTGGGTCCCTAATGCTACTTCATAAAATTATATCAATGTGAAGAACAATTTCTCTTTCTTATATTTATTTTTATTAGAAGAGGTGGTGGGGCAGATGTGGCAGTTTGGATTTTAAGAGACAGCAGGAGAAATGATTTCATGGGAACAGATGTCGCATGTTAGCTCATCATCCTTCTGCAAGTGATCTTAGTTTCTCAACTTGGGTAGGGGTGCTTCAAAATTCTTGCAGCTCTCTGTTGAATTTCGGCTGCTTTGTACTTGTATCAATCACTGTTAAAATAGCATACCCATGAGGTACTCTGGACATTTGCTGACCATTTCGACCTTTGCATTCTGTAACATGACCTTGTTGACGTTTTTTATTTATTTATTTTTTTCTTGTATTTTCTACTGTCTGTTGATTTTATTTAATGACACTATTTTTTTTGTTCTGTTTCTTTTCAGCGCCCTTCACCAAAATGAAGCGGTGTACCATAAAAACCTATGGCAGAACATCTGAATCTGCTTCAAGTCGTGCCTTTGATGAGATAATGCATAAGAATAATAAAACTTTAACTGTAAAAGCCTCACCTATGATTCAGAAATGGGGTAAGACATCTTTCACAGCTGTGCGAGGCCGAAAAGATCGAGAACCCGAGGCAAACCTCGGTCGTGAAAGGGACTTAAGCGTGTCAAAGAGGCCGCGGTTTGACGATGACCTCTCTGATGACCCATTCAGTTTTGAATCTGAGGATATGAAAGGTGCAAGTCGAAACTCCATAACCAAGGTACCTCTGCATTCAAATGCTTCTCAAAAGAACATAATTGTTACAGCCCCTGCAGTAGGGATTGTCACTAAGAAGTCCTTTAATGATTACAAAATTGACTCATCTCCTGTAAAACCATTGCTTAAAACGGACCCAGATAATGTGTTATATCGGTCAGCTAAAACTTATTCTGTAAGTCCAACCAAAAGAATTGACCAATTTTCAAATATCCACAGTAGCTCTCAAGAGAGTTCTTTAGATTCTCCTCCCAAGAAAATGACCATCAAAGTCAGTGATTATTCCTATTCACAGAAGTTGTTCCTTTCCCAAAAGAACTCCAGCAGTTCTACCCAACATTCCAGCAGTCCTGAATCATCATCTTGTATAACATTGAGTACACAATCTTCCCCAGAAAAGCTAATTTCAGTGCTCAGCAAACTACCTGCAAGCGAGGAGAACAAGGATGAAGATAATTACAAATTCAAGCGGGCACCTCTAATCCGCACGTACACGGGCGGCCACAAGTTACCTGTATCTGTCACTCCTACATCTTCGCCTTCTAAGCTCAGCAGGAAGCCAGCACCTAAAACAAGTGCTCCTGTCAGTCCTCATACACCCAACACCGTTTTTCGGGACAATCAGGACAGTTTTACAAACAGCACGGTGATCTCTCGGAGTGAAGTGAAAAATAACCGAGGCACAACTATTATTTTTCTGTGCAAACCCAAAGGAATGGAGGGCATGAAGACTTTGAAAAAGACCCCACGAGAAACAGCGAGTGAACTCTTTGACAAGATTATCAAAAAGAAACCTGTGAATGTCTGTGGCAGTAGTGAAGATGATGACGACGAAGAAGAACCTCCCAACATCATCTCAGCAGGTAGTCCGGTTAGTTCTCTAGCCAGTGACGATGGACCACCACCACTTTCTCCAGAAGATTTGGAACATAAGGAATTGGATGAGGTTAGTAAAGGTGACTACCACCGCACCAATTTTGCTGAGGGTGATGTAGAGATGTTCAACGACCAATCTGATGAAGAATCCATTAAGTTATTTTCCCTCGATGATAAAGAAGATTCGTCAACCTCTGATGGAAAGAAAATGCAGTGTTCATTGAATGAATCAAAAAACAATGATGTATTTGATGACATATTCAAATTGGACGATGATTTTACTTTTACAACAGAAAGGTGCAATTCTGTGTCTAGTGATGATAGAAAAAACTCTGTGACTGCCGATCCTTTTGACTTGGATGATACATATGACAGGTCATTGACTATGCGGACAGCTAAAACATACACTAGACAATCGGCCAAAGAGAAACCAGCAGAAAGGAAAATATTTAAGTCTAAAAATACTAAATATTCAATTAGTGGATCAGTTCCGCCTAAGTTATCAAGCAAAAGTCCTAAAAAGGTGAGTCTGTTTTGTCCATATTTTATTTTTCTATATTATTTTCATTTTTTTTTCCTTTCCTTTCACTTTCCTCTTTTCCTTTCACTTTCCTCTTTTCCTTTCCTCTTTTCCTCTTTTCCTTTCCTCTTTTCCTCTTTTCCTTTCCTCTTTTCCTCTTTTCCTTTCCTCTTTTCCTCTTTTGCTTTCACTTTCCTCTTTTGCTTTCCTTTTTGAAAAAAAAATATTTTTTTTTTTTTTTCCTTTTTGTTTGTTTATTTCCTTGTTAAACTCATTTTTATATTTTCTTTTTCTTTTTTGACTTTCTCTTTCACTTTTCTCCTCCACTCTATTTATATCAGCTTTCTTACTTCCTTTCTTTCATTATTTTTAAATTTGTTTTCCTTTTTCATTTCCATTGTTTATTGCTTTGCCTTCTTTTGTACTTTATTTCCTTTCTTTCATTCTTTTACTCTTCTCTTCATTATTTTTCTGTCGCTGTCTTCCATTCATGTTTTGCTCTTTCCTTTCATGCTGTCTTTTTTGTTACTTTCTTTTGCCACATTTTTTGATCCTTTCTTTCTTACAGGTTTTCTACATTTTTTTCTTTTCAAATAAATTTGTATATTTGATTAATTACAATTTAATTTCCACTTTAGATTTCATTTGTTAAATTTTTTCCGTTGTTTTTTAATTCATATTTTCATTTGTTTATTTTTTTATAATTTTAATTTTTATAGGCATTAATGAATTCTTGAAAAAAGTAAAACAATAATTAGGTATTTCATATAATGGTCGGCTGCTACTCATTTTGAAGTACACCTGTCTGCCAGAGCAGCTAGCCAAGCCCTATTACTGATGCCTGCTCTGTTGTTTATATTACAGAAATGCATTTTTTTAACCTAGTGGTACCTGTTTATTTAATGTGTTGTCATGGTAACAGCTTGAATGACAGATGGAAGTTTACCTAATGTTTTTCTACAGGGGATATATCTGTAAAAGATAATTGAGGAATATGACATGAGCACCTTTTTTCTTTTTTTTTTGTATAATTTTTAAGTACACAGTAATCTTATTCTTAGTAATTGAATGTTAGGTACTTTGGCTTTCTTATTTTATGATATTGTTGTGTATGAAGAACCGTATTTACAAACATTGGCATGTTTATACACACAAAAATTTTTAAAATTCTTTTTAAAATATTGGAGTCAATGAATTGCATTAAGCTTTCCCATTTAGGATTAGTAAATATAGTTTTTACTTAACAATGTCACATAACCGTTACAAATGAATACAGAATTTTAAAAGATTTAAAATTTTATAAAATATTCTAATTAAAATTTTTAAAAAAATGGAAACAATTCTTGTAAAAATTCATTATTCATAGCAATTTTTTTTTTAAGATAATAATGTTTTAATATATCTTATTCATAAAAACAAAAGCTTTTCTAATTAAATAATATCTTACTTTTATTGCAATTTTTATTTTACAATTCATAGCAGATTTTCAGTAACTGCTACTTTACAAAAATTAGTGGGGAGTATAAAAAAAAAAGTTTGCAAAATAAATTAATTCATTTGTGAATAAGTCCTGAAATTTTCATTAAAATCCAACAATTATTTGATTTTTGCAAAAATTTCCAAATCAATGTTTTTTCACCACAAAAAAAGATGTCAAAATTTTCTATGCTAATTTTATAGTCTATTTGCTGAAGCAAGAGAAACTCAAATTTTGAAATTTCTAAAAAGGATTAAAAAGATATAATTAAATAATCAAAAAATATTTTGGTCTTTCTTCTTAATAATAACAAAGATGATTTTGATGACAATTTTATCAAGTTTGTTTTTTTTTTTTTTTCTTTCAATATGGTATGCTTCTTCCTTTTTTTTTTTTTTTTTTATTAGCAAATTGGTGGAGGTACCTAAATTATTTACTTTTTTTTTTGTAAATATAAATTTAATTCCATATGAAATTAAGAATAAAGCATAATATGATGGTTACAGTAGAAGCTAAAAGTCAAAACATAAACCAATGTTATTAATTGCCTATGGATATTATATACATGATGTGGCACGAATACCTCCCACATTAAGACATTACCTAGATGAAAACACCATTGCCACTAATGTCTTACCATCATGTGGGAGGTATTCCTGTCACATCATGTACAACCATACGGTAGGACTTTGAAAGATTTTACAAATAATCTAATGAAGTCATTACTCTTTGCAATAAAAAAATTATCGCAAAATTTAAGTTGACTGTTACTGACCACAAGGTTTACTGGAAGATTTTTTGTTTCCATTTATGGATTGTAGTACCAAATATAAAAGGTTAGTCTCAGAAAGAGAGAATCCAATTGTAAAATTCATGTTCAATAAAGTCTGCGAATTTAAGATAATGGTAAATACCTGGGTGCTAAAGCTGTGAAAGTAGCTGCAAAAGATAATCACAAAAACTGTAAAGTTCAGAATGAGTTTCAGATGCTTGTATAGACATTTTGAAATGAATTTAAAAGGTACAAAAACAAAACCTGGTGGGATAGAGAAAGATAAATTGCAGTCTTTGGAAAATAAAATACAAGAAAGCACCATTTCTCAAATGGAAAAAAAGATTTGTTAAAATTCTCTAAAATATTGATTTAATGCAAAATAAATTGTAAACCTTTTGAATTTCTCCCACTTCTATTTTTTATCTTTGTTCAAATAATATTGAACAACTGTGCTTTCTATGACTTTACATTTACATTGTTTTATATCAACATTATTTTTTTTTTTTTTTTTTTGTAGCCTCGTTTTGTGCTTTTAATAAGTTCATAATGAATGATTATATCACCATAATAACATATGAATATTTACTATGTCCTTGTAATTGAAAAAAAATGGCCATACCCAAGCACTTTGAAGTACTTTTTCACCATCACTAATCTGGCATCATTGGGATCTGTAAGTTGATGGATAAAAGATTTTACTGTATTATTGATGGTTACTCTTACTTAACTCAACAGCTAACCACTTCATCTTACTTTAAAATTCCCTGTAAATCAGTACATGTTGTTTTAATAAAGTTTTTTTTTTTCAGAAGTTCATTACTTATCTGTTATGGACAATCTTCACATCATAAGAAGCACTTCCTGTATTCATTGAAACTATGACTGGGGCTAAATGTCAGCAGGCTATAATAAAAGGCACAAAAGAAAAGTAGAAATGCCTTACCAGCTTCCTTTGGGAGGGGGACTGAAGTCATTATCCAACAACTAAGGTGTCCCCAAAAGGGGAAGTGTCAAGGGGGTTTGAGCAATTTTTGTACAGTGTTTCTGAAATCCCACATTAAGCTCCAACTTTAGGTTACATTCTGTTGTGACATGTGTTTGATAGTGCTCAAAAATGGCTGACAATGCGGCTAATGCCACCAAACAGTAGTGACAGGTTCGTATGGTGAGCCAGGAGAACTGAAATTATTCTAGTGGAAATTAATGCTGGATTAGTGGTGGCAAACCTGTATTGGTATCTTTTTTTAATACACTAACCAACCTTAGTGCTTTATAGTTGGACTGAAGTGACCAGACTTTAAATTTGTTTATTTCTACTTTGCACTTCATTGATACTTCCTAAAACTGATTATTTTCAATCTTAGGTGGCATAGATTCCTTCTTAATATTGTAAGTGAAAATGGAATATATATAATAGAAATGTAGGAGGACACTAACTAGCAAGGCGATGATATCACTAAGGATTACTGAAAGTAAAAGAAAATAAGATAGGGCAATAAATGAACAAGATTCATGAAGACAGAAGATAGTGACTGATGTTGCATTTTAATTTTTGAAGATTGTAGTTGACAGGAAAGCAAGAAACTAGAAGAGAGTTCCACAGGTGAGAAGTGCAAGAGAAGAAACTATTAGAATAGAACTCATGGTTAAATCTGGATTCAACAGTAAAACAACAGTAAACCTAGTTGCCAATCTTAAATTCAATTGATCAAGGTACCAAGGATGAAAGCTCAGTAGAACATTTGCCATGAAGCTATTTCATGGTAATTGGTAAAGTGACTAAAGTTGAGATGCCAGGTCAGGACTGATAACATTACAGACCCTTCTTTGGGTTTTGTTGAGAATCCCGAGATATATAGCAGGAGCACCAGATCAGACATGGCAGCAATATTCAATACACAGATCAATGTGCAAGATGGATTCTAGCAAGAAAAAATTGTCTGATACCACACAGTAAATCAAGTTTCCTAGTAGCAGACCTAGCAATTGATTCAATATAGCTTACAGCCAGATTAGGTTGAAACACCAGTTCCTGTACAATCACCGAAGTTAAGCAATATTGAGTCTGGATAGGTGACCACTTGGGAATACCATGTGCTCTAAGCTTGGAGGTGCAGGTGATGTATTAGATAATGGCTTGGAATTGTTAATCAGAGAGCGGAATTCCAATTTCAGTTGAGTTCATTATATTCCCTTATGTGAAAATATCTTTGGGAAAAGTGTGAATCTACCTCTTCTCCCCCAGCTATAAGTTAATTAGTAAGACTTGTATCACTAAATCATTATGAAGAAAAAATTCTTACAATCTAAAAATATTTTCTGGCTTTAAATAACTTGCAAAGATTTAAGCCATAAAAACAAATCAAATGATTCAATATAATCATTTCACTTCATGTTCATGTGAAACCAAGAAACCACAATTAGTTGCTGTCCAAGACATTGGCATCAGCCATGCTGATGGAAGACAAAAAGTTCTCAATGATGACTAAAAGATATTTTACCTTTTTAAATGTGTTAAAATTTACAAGCCATTTCTTGCTCCAGTTAACAACTCATTGAAAGTCATTTTTCAAGATCAGTTGCCAGTTTTACTTTATCTGACTGAGCAGATTTACTATTAAGATAGGAGTAAATTGTTATTCATCAGTATAAATACCAAGTTGGGAACTAACGACATCAAGAAGGTCGTTGATGAAAATGAGAAGACCAATAGGATGATAATTCAAAGGTTCACCAGACTGGAACTATAGAAGAGGATTTCTAACAAGCTGGAAAGCAAGAAGCAGCAAAGCGTTTGTTGTAGTTATTTATTTGAATCTGTTTTCTTATTGATGCAAAAATTGGCTTTCTCAACATTTTCACTCAAATCAAGTGTTTCTTTTGAAAAAAATTTCTTATTTACTCATTTTGTTAGAATTTCACATGTATGTTTTGTCTAAACTTTTGAAGACCTTAAGTATTTTG